AGCCGATAAAGATCGAACATCCCGAGCGCCGGGTAGCACGCGCATAGAGAGTGCAAAGGGTTAATTCAGCGCGCGAAACGAGCCGTGCTCGTGAGCCCGATCATCGTGGCCGCGTTAACAAGCCGAACGACGCGTCGCCGATCGGGGAACGTCTCTTCTCCGCGGGTAAATTTAGACGTGGCGCGATGGAAACGGTTGAAGCTCGGTTTAACGACGCGTACGGGACTTTACGTCGTGTATCAGTCAGCGGGATCCTCTCGCTTTAGGAAGATCTCTCTTAGTCTTTACATCCTGCGTAGAACCACGTTCTCCGCTCTTCTTTCTCCCGCGACTGTAACGCCTAAGCCCGCGAGGAACTTTATTGCTCGGCAACGAGAGTAGGCGATCGCGAGGCATGTTTGACTCGAAGCAGTATAAACCCGGAGACGATTACCCCCGCTGTCACGTTCGCGTGAAAACATGTCACGATTTCGAGGCCAGGCTTTGCGGAGTATCCAAGCTGGTGCACGCGTAAATTCGCCCCGTGAATTTATCTCTGTCGCGCGGGAAGAGCATCTCGGATGTAAAATCGTTGTTTTCCTGGTACCACCCTATGGATACTTAGAGTACAAATGCTACTCGTATTGATAGTTCCTTTTTTTTTTCACGGAAGAGAAAATGCATTTTTCCAGCGCGAATTCAATTTACTCCTGCGGTAATCTCGCGATGGTTTTTCTTTTTTATTCTGGAATATGATTAATCGTCTGTGGTGTCGCAGACACGAGAATCAACGCGCCAGTTCATTTTCATTCCGCTCATTTTTTCTGTTACGTGTTAATCTCCGCGCTCGTTCCATTCTGCTGGTGTGAATATAATGGAACGTTTATTTCTTCATTCTCCCGGAATATTTATCTTTATTTTCTGTTACATCTACCACCGGCTGTGGAAATGAATTGAAAATAATTTTCTCTTTTTTCTTTTTTTTTTTTGGAGAGAGAAACTTTTTGCAAGTCTGTCGAGGGAAACGTAGTGCAAGTTTTCGAAGTTTTGTTATTCGACTGTTCCGCAGACCGGACAAAGATGCGTCACGATAAGGCGAGCTCCGTGGAGCACAATGTAGACGCGGCAAAAGTTCGCGGTCAGCCAAACACTGGCAACTCCGTAACAATCGAACAGACATAACAGTCACTTCCATATGCAAAGGATGATCGATTCTACCTTTACCAACCGCAAACTTGAACTTAGGAACACGGGGATCACTGTTTACCGAGAACTTGCAGTGATAAATATCCAATCGAATTGATCGTCTCTGTTCAGTCTAGACCGATTGTGGTATAATAGGAACCATAACTTGCACCGTGCTGTGAATCGAGAGGTACCTTGGAATCGTCGACGAACATTTCATCGAATATTTAATTATTGAAATTTTTATTTAATTACTGAAACTTTTAATTATCGACGCACGCGATTTATATCGATCGATAAAACAACAGTGCGAGTGTGACATAATAATATTTTATTATTCGTCTCATTATTATTTCTTACAAGAAAATTGATGTTTGTCGAAAATTTGAAAATTTTAAGTTTGTCGGTGATTTCAAGGTAAACCCATAAAACAATCCTTACTCTCGATGGTGCTGGCGAGGCGTAGTAGCGCCAGAAGCAGTATGCTGATCTTCAGCTCCATCCTCGGCTCACATCTCACTGAACCATTTCCCTGTTGCACCGGAAGCCCAAACCGAAGATACAACCACCTTACAACCCGACCATTTCAATCCATCCAAAAACCCATACCAATCTTCGTCAGAACTTCCTAATCACCCATTGTCCATTTTCGGTCGTCTCTTTACTACCAAACGATCCTCCGCCTCACATCTTTTCCAAATAACATAAACGATGTAAAAAGGAAAGAATTAAAAAAAAGAAAACAGCATTAACTGCTAGGTAGCTACAAATTATCAGGTCTGTCGGACAGTTGTGTCTCTTTCCTCTTCCTCTGTATTTTAAAAAATTTTATATTCTACGATCATGATCCAACTTTCTACTAATTTATCAATTCCGTTTATACAAAAATCTGCCATTTTTTCATCGAAATATTTTTTCCCCAGTTTCAAAGTTTCCTCTGCACTCTTCCATTACATAAAATGGTGTACACAATTTTCAAAAGATCCAGGACACCAGATAGATCCTCTCCACTGACGTGTTTACCGTGAAAAATTATCAACGATAAACCAACAACTACCACCTACACCTACATACTCCATACTACATACTCTAGCATAATAAAAGTGTGAATTACGAATACGAGAAGGTAGCTCTGAAGGAACGTTAAAGACAGGACTATCCAACGGACCTAATACATGACGGAATCGAGCACGCGTCGAGCGGGACACGTGACCGGCGGTTCGGTCCGTGCGCGCGATCAACGAACGGAACGAAGGAAACCGCGGGGTATTGGCAAAATTGAGGGTTGGAGGCGCACGATCCTCGCAGCTCGGCACGCGGTAGACGACTGAACTTGCCGACGTGCGCGCACCTCTATATATATACATATATACACGTCTCGCTTCGATAGCGTCGCTCTTCTTCATCCCTTGTCGTCGTCGGAGGAGGGTTGCCAGTGGTGGTGGCGGCGACGCCGATGCCAGAGACGCAGATGATGGTGGTGGTGGTGGTGGTGTTTCAGAGAACGCTCGAGGGTGCGCCTTCCGCGAATGCCGATCCTCCTTTCGTCGCGACTCGGTCGCATCAAATGCGTGCTCGCTCTTTTGCGTGCGCCACACCGTATTCTAACACTTCGATTGTCTTATTTCACCAGTTACACTTGCACCCTTCGACTGAGAAGAATACCGAACAGAGAAGTTGAACGTGTCGCCGAGTTGAGCAGAGGTCGAGATTCCAGTTGGACGAAGATTCTTGGATAGAGAGGATGTTTGTAGGGGATGTCGGAGGAAGTGGAATAGTGTTTTCCTATGGGCGATGTCGGGGAGATTGCGGAGGTTTTATTGTTGTCAGGGTGAGTGGATGGTTTGTTTGGAAGAGGGTAGGGGAGTGTTTGTTGCTTTTTTTAAGGGATGTTGCGAAGATTTATGCTACTCGGTTTGGTATTAATTTCGCGTATGTAACACTTTTGTTGAGTCTGTTTGGAGATTTGTGTAGTAAACGTAGTCCCTTGGTATTGGAGGGTTGATATTCTTTGATTTTATTAATTAGTAGTTGAATATTGAACGAGGAAGGATATCGTGCAAATACTTTTTCCACTCGATGTATATTTGTAGAGTGTGTTGTACGTTGTGTGTACACCCGAGGCTACGTAACGAACGACGTAGGGATGCACCCTAGCATAATCGTGAAGCTCCTCGCCGACTATTGTTGGGAGGAGCCGTGTATTAATCTTATGTACATTGGGAATGTGCAGTAATTTGTAAATCGACGATAAGAGAAAAAAAAAAAGATACGGAGAATTCCAAGGAAATTTCGATAGAACGAACACTTGTGGTTAACCCTCCACAGTCGGCAAGTTTAAATCCTCAACTTTGACCTCAGGCTATATCTTTCTCCCTCGCTACAAAGTAAAACCACGAATCCGCCTCAAACCTAATCCAATAAAAACCTACGCTTAACCCTCCCTTATTTCCCAACTTTAAAAGGCACTACTATTTCACCTCAAATGATCAGTCGAACCACACACTAAAATCCCTTTAAAATTAACCCTGTGAAACTCCGAGAAATTTTTCCATTGCTCCTCTAATTTCGGTGCAACACTCTGCGGTCCTAATCGAAAACTGTCCGGTCACCCGGCTTGCTCGTAATCCGTGAAAAATTCTCCTCTTTTTACTCCGCGAGAGTAAAAAGTTTAAAAATAGGGACATTGTTCGCCACGGAGTGGGAGAGACGATGGTCTTCTGGTAAGAGGACCGTGAACACCCTCGCGGCACTTACCCCAGAACCGCGGAACGGTGAGATAGATAAATTGTCCATCTCGCGTGTTATAATTATAGTTCGCCTTTTACAAGCATATTTCTGACATACACGTAGTCTTCCTTTCACAAAAGGTTAAATGCAACCTTGACGCATCCCGAGGAGCCAATTTTCCTTTTATCGATGAAATAGCGCGCAAACCTGCCCGGGGTGATCGTTGTACAGGGTGAGTCACGAGAAGCAGAACACCTGAATATCTTTGTTGAATTTGAAGATATGAAATACGGGTACATCAGAATTAGAATGGTTTCGAAGGATGCACATCGTCATCGTAATATTATTTCTTTTCGGTATTTTCAAGGTCGCCAACGTTTTTTCACATGGAATGCCCTATTTTTTTTTACGGTAGTTGGAAAGCTCATTAATTTCCACGTGGAAAAGTATTAAACATTGTTTGTCCTAAAGCTAATAATTAACGAGATATTAACGACAGTTTGATCCGTATGATTCGCACATCGTCGCGAATTGTCCCCGAAGCAAGCGTGGCACACGCTTCACGAATTCGTTCTGCTTCTCGTGACTCACCCTGTATACCAGGGGTGGCCACCTACGCCAAGGAATATTTGAAAGAGCCATTTATTCATCTTTGATAGTTATTATTGATAATAGCTACTTTTGAATATTGATCAGTTTTAGTTTACTAATAATTTTGTAACAAGAAATGTGTGGGTGATGGGAGAATAAACGTAATCGTGCTCGCGCTTGAAATCTTTTATTTCTGAAAACCCAGACGAGACGTCTGATGTCGCCCGTGCGACTTTCGGCGGTTGAATCCCTTCGCGTCGTCGGTCGGGATCCTGGCTGCCCTCGGAACGGATCTCAAGTGTCTCCCCGCTTTCCGAGGACAGTCATCTTTATCGGCCTGCCGCGACATCGACAGCGACGAAAGACACGTCCGTTGCGTGCGTCTCGCAGTCTCGATAGTGTTTACAATGTGGCGCCGTGCGCGCTGCATGGGCCGCCACAAATGAAAGAAAATAATTACTCTTGGACATTGATCAGTTTTAGTTTACCATATTTCGTACATACGTTTTATTTGCATAAGAGCCGCACCACTCGCCTGCGAGAGCCGCACGCGGCCAGAGGCCCGGTAAGGATCGAATAGAATATCACGTGGTGGCGGGGCCGGTCATGTTGCAACGAAGGCGGTCGGTGAACGAGTCGATCGTCGTCGAAGAGGATCCTCGCGGGAACGTATGGGATTTCCGACGGTCGATCACCGGCGATCCGCTCGAACGTGAAATCGGATCCAACCACGGGAACGAGGTTAGAGACGTGGTGGATGCCTCGCGGACGCGTTCCAGCTGGAGAAAGGGCGGCGTGTAACGGTAAACTAGCTTCCGAATCGGTTGGTTACGCGTCTAAGAAACCGATACCCACCTCGGTGTAAATAAATCGCGTCGAGGGGATCTGTTTCCGTTTCGTTACTGCCCGCCGGATTAACTTTTGTCCACGTTTCGCCGTGATCGTCCGCGGTGATGTTGGTTCAGGTTACTCCTTCGTGCAGGTTGCATCGATTCAGGAGACGTTGTTAGATGGACCTTGTCGTTTGTCATCGCTGTGACGAGTTATGGTTCAATGCGTAGGATGCAACGCATCAAAAAATGACAGGAATTTTTTTGAAATTTTATGGGTTTGTAGGAGACACTGATGGAAGTGTTGGGTAATTTTTTGGTGCGCTACTTTTTGGTTCTTCAGGGTGAGAATACCTATGAGCTTTCCTATTTTTCTGTCCATCTTGAAAACTATGGCAGACGTAAAGACATTGTTGCAATGAAAATTTAATAGCTGCACATTTCCCTGTACTAGACTAACGTTTTAATGTCCCTAGCCATGTCGTTAAGTGAGATTGCTGCCAGGGTTTATGCAGGACATATACTTTTGTGGGAAAGGGAATAAGAGAAAAATGTTAAATTTTTAATTGTCAGCTTGTAAATATGAAAACAACTTTCTTCGAAAATTAAGCTTATATAGAAGACATTCAGAAATTTTGCAAAAATACCAAAAAATGATTTTGAAATTTTATTAGAAAATGTTGGTCGGAGAAGTCAATATATCAAATGACTGATAAAAATGTTCCATTAAATATCATCGATACTAAACAGTCCCTAAATGGTAGGGAAATATTTCTAGCCACTCTATTCACAGCCGGAAAATGGGTTCCGCAATTTGTAAGATTTGTACAAAACAACGTTTCTAGATCAGTGTCAAGACATTCGCGAGAAGCGGTACTAATGGACTGTACCGTAATCACAGTGCTTTTACTTAATGGAACAATCTTGGGACCCAGTGAATTACAGCGACGCGGGAAGATTTACTTTGGTTCGCGTTTAGAAAATAACATCGTTCTGGTATTACACAGCAGAGGATGAGACGAGTTAACTATGATTGGGATTTATCGCCTGCTATTACGATTACAGGATTTCACATTGTAAGATGGTATCTCATGGAGGAATCTCATCCGGAACTTTTCATCGTACCTCTTTCCACGCGGACTCCTGAAACAGAGCAGTCCTTTAGACGAGGACTCCCATCAAAGAACAGCAATTTAATGCAAGCCATTCCCGACTTCCAAACTCAATTCCAGAAAAATCTCCTCTTAACTTCTCTGACAAAATTACGCGAACCAGAAAAAAGGGTGAAAAGAGGAATGTAACAAAATCTCTGGTGAATATTGAGTGACTCGTGATCGTTATTTATGAGACG